AGAAGAGGAAAAAAAGAGTAATCTGATACAATTTGATGAACTTGACATATACCTATAGATGCAGCAACTCCAAAGAGGGAACAAATCCTTACAGCAAGCATCATTCCCACCCCCTCCATACACAAAGTGGACAGGGATGGGCAACTTGGACATTGGCTACCCAAAATAGGGGGGCTACAAAGGCAAGAAGTGAATGGCTTACAAGCTTTCAAGAGGGAACCTAGATCCAGAGGGTGCACGGGAAGGCAGAATCTCCACTGAGTAGTATCCAATCTGTCTAGGTGGCACTGATGAAAGGAAATGCAGATAGGTCTCATGTGATACAAGGGTGAATAATTGTTACCAGGACTGATTGTGAAAGTTGTAAATGTAAAGGTAGACATTTTGTGACAAGAAGGGGAGTGATTAACTTTGCAGGCTAGGAGCGGAGGTCCCTGGAACCATGAAGGGAGAAGAGCAGAGAGCAGGACCCTACCCAGAGAAGCAGCGATCCCCGAGATGGAGGCAGAGACAATGACATGGAGAGATGGAGCAGCTGGGGACTCGGGACCCAGGGAGGGAGAGGGCCTGTGTACTGACAACTGATGAGGTAGGGGGTGGGGGTGTGGGGGAGCAGGCTTGTAGGATGTACCCTTTAGTTGATTGGTGATGCATGGAGGGGATTGTAACCATGGCAATGAAACAATATATGATAGGATGAATGTAAAAACTAATGTTCTCCCATGTAAACGATCACATAATTCACAAAAAAACTTAAAAAAACAAAACAAAACAAAAAATAGATGGTGGGCCAGATCTGGCCATGGACTCTACTTTGTCAACCCATGTAGTAGAGTGATGGTCTGGGGTCTAGGTTTTCAGCAGTTACCACAAAAGCAAAATGTCTCAGAAGTTTCATTCTTCTGGAAAGATTAATATGAATTTTACTTCATGATATTGATGCTGGTATTATTAGCTGCTGTCCAGTCAGCCCTGACTCATGGTGACCCTGTGCACAGTGGAATTATTTCAATATAGTTTTGTTTATTTTTCCTACTCAATCTTCACAGAAAATCTGATGCTTTGAAAAGATGCTCCATGGTTCTTCTGTGTTCTAGTAGCAATGACTCCTAAAGGCACTGCAGGTGTCCATTTTACAGATGAGAAAATGGAGGCTCAGAGAGATGAAGTGACTTGGATACTGACAAGTGGAGTTCAGTGCTCTAGGCCAGTGACTACCCTTCCTCTGTCCTACCCTGCCGTGTTGTTAATAGCCCAATTGGCTCTGACTCACGGCAACCCTATGTATAAAAAAGGAAATGTTGTTCAGCCCTAAATCACCTTCATTGGCATGTTGGGTTATCTTCTGTTGCGATCCATATGGTTTTCACTGGTTAGTTTTAGGAAGTAGATTGCCAGACCTTTCTTCCTACACTGTTTTAGTCTGGAAGCTCCACTGAAACACGGTAACCATGGATGATTTTGCTGGTTTTTAAAATACTGTGTTTCCAGAATCATACCACATGCAAACCACCACAGAATGACAAACTGACAAATGGGTCGTGGGCCCTGCCAAGTCTCTGCTGCTAATTTATGCCAGAGATAATGTGGGTGTGACAGATTGACAAAATGGCCCTGATTCTCCACTCCTTCTTTTATCCACACCCTTTACCATGTAACTTTGCAGTGACCTCCCAGGAGGACAATGAATCACATGGGCAGTCAAACTGCCCCAGACTAGATCAGCCCACCCCCAGCCGGCCCCATGATAAATGCTTATCATTGAATGCTACAGATGGTTTGTGGCTGTTGGTTGCACAATAAAATTACAAAATTATTATTGTCATTATTATTTTGTTATACAACATTATGATGTTAATAGTAACTGCTACAGTGGGTGGAAGCCCCTGGTAAACATCTGTGAGCAGTAATTCACCCCTCAGGTGCCTGTTTCTCTGGGTTCCTTGCCGTCTTCACTGAGCCTCATTAGCACATCTACAGGCTACACCCTCCCACCAGGGTCACCAGCAGGACCAATGTGTGAGGGAGTCCTGAAGATGTGTTGGTTTTGTTAGTTATAGAGACTCTGGAGTTAGACTACCAGTTGCTGTCAAATTGATTCCTATTCATGGGTGTCTGAGTTGAACAGTGAGTGCTTCATAGGATTTCCACATGGAGCTCTGGTAGCATAGTGGTTACGAATCGGGCTGTGAGCAGCAAGGTCAGCAGTTCGAAACTACCAGCTGTTCCGCGGGAGAAAGATGAGGTGTTCTGTTCCCGTAAAGATTTACAGCCACGGAAACCCTGTACAGGGTCGCTATGAGTCGGAACCGACTCCATGGCACACAGCCACCACCACTTTTGTAAAAGTAGATCACCAGGCCTTCTTCTGAGGTGCCCCTGGGTAGACTCGAACCTCTAACCCTTCAGTTAGTAGTCAACCACTTAACTGAAACCCCCCAGAGACTACATGGATTCGGATCCTGATGCCAAATGACTAGATGTGTGATCTTGAAGAAAATGGGCGTGAGTTTTTAAAACCTCCGTGCTTCCATTTCCTCATGTGTAAAGCAGAGTGTCTTAGTTATATAATGCTGCTATAACAGAAACTCCTGGTGTGGCGCAGTGGGTTAATTCGCCAGACTGCAAAGCTGTTTGAACTGCAAGGTCGGCGGTTCAAACTCATCAGTCACTCCTTGGAAACCCTATGTAGGGTCGCTATGGGTCGGAACAGACTCAACTGCACTTCACAACAACAACAACACAACAGAAATAGCACAAGTGGGTAGTCTTAACAAATAAATTTATTATCTTGCTGTTTAGAAGGCCCGAAGTATGAATTCAGGGCATTGGCAGGTCCTTGTCCCTTTTCAGCTTCCGTGCTTTCTTGCTTCTTATCTTATGCTTCTGTGTCCAACTTATTCTTTTTTAGTATCTCTAAAGTGATTGGCTTAAAACGTACCCTACACTGATAATGGAATCCTGGTGTGGCACTGAAGGATAGGCACTTGACCTCAAGATCAGTTTGAACCGCAAGGTTGGTGGTTCCAACTCACCAGCTGCTCCTCAGAAACCCCATACAGGGTCGATATGAGTTGGAACACCACAACAATACTGATAATGCCTTATCAACATAACAAAGAAACCCTATTCCCAAATGAGATCACAGGTAGGCCCCGCCTTATGAAGTAGTCATGTGCTGTATAACATCTGCTTGGGCAGTGTCGGACCACATACACATCTGGGGGTCCATAAGGTTATAATAGGGTTCAGAAATCCTAATCTGAGAGCAGGATGTAGCCGATAAAATAACTTCCCTCCAGCAGCTTGTGTGTTTCCTGCCTCGTTTATTCAAAACAATGGCTCTGCCAGCAGTATCATATAAACATTGTTATAATACATGATTATGTTACTAGCTTATGTAAGTACTACACTGTAGGTAGCAGCATACAATCTCATACATCGTGTGTCTCTTGAGTGTTGTAGCATTATCTCTGTTTATATGTGTGTGTTTTTTCTAAAATATTACCATGAGATGCATCATAGATCCAAAAAGCAGCAAAATCAATCAATGCTGCTAATAGCTGCAGCAAGAGGCAAATAACTATTAATTTGGAAGTGAAATAAAAGGTTATTAAACAACAACCTTTAAGGACCATATTAAATAATCATCTTCCGGCACTATATCTGACAATGTTCTGTTGCTACTCATAAGGTTTTGGTGCTATTCAGTGGCTAAACATTCAGAAGCCATCTGTCTTTCCTTCTTCCTAATCCATCTTAGTCTGGAAGTTCTGCTGATACCTGTCCATCATGGATGATCCTGCTGGTTTTTCCAATACCGGTGGCATAGCTTTCAGCATCACAGCAACACAAAAGCCACTACAGTATGACAAACTGACACATGAGTGTTGATATTAAACAATACAAAGATGGAAAATCAGGGTATGCTAGTGCTTACGATGTAGGCAGGTGGCACTCGGCAGTCATGCTAATTCTCAAAAACAAAAAAATGTCCAAACTGTTAACGGATCAGCTCCACTGAAAGCTACAAGGCTAACAGAAATGGGAGAGGGTCCTATATCAGCTATGGAGAAATTGTGGTCCAAACACAAAAATGAATTCCTCTCTGCATAACGCTTGTTTGAGATGTTTAAAGTAAAAGCAGGACCAGACTATGATACGGTGTTCTCACAACATCTGACTCACATCACGTCCTGTTTCACAGAATGTATCATGGACGTTCAAGGTTCACGACTACTCGAATTACTTGAAGTAATTTAGGACTGTATGTTTTTTGTTTCATGCTACAATGTTGCAGTATACAATTTGTTGATGTCATCATTCTCAGATGTTCACTCACAGATGTTTAAAGATTCGATTTATACAAATACTGATCATAAAAGGCAATAATAATGTTTGTGTGGGGGGAGAGGTATTTGACCTAGGTCAGAACCAACTTTCAAAGGAGTTGTTGGAACGGAGCCATGTCATAAAGTGGGGATTACCTGTAATACATTCACAAATATCGGGGTCAGGATTTGCAATACATATTTTTTTTGGAACACAACTCAATCCATGATAGTGAGTAAATGAACGCTTTCCTGAGAACTGGTTTGTCATTGTGGTGGCATGGGAGGTACACAATGGTTCTTACTCTCCAGGAGCCACAGTCTGATGGGGAAACGGTACGCCTCAGGGACCACTTAGAGGCAGCTCTGAATTTCTGTGAGGGGCTCAAAGGCTGGGGTTAGGGGCTGCATCCTTGCTTCACTTACACTGGAGATCAGAGATTAGCATATTTTTGAAGCACCCCGACTGGACACTCCTATGGCTCGGGGTCCAGGGTCCCCAGCAGAGCATCCCCTATAGTAACTGGACACTCATCCCTCTCGCCCTCTAGCCCATATCAGGTAAGCTCTCCCTCCTCTGAACCTCTTGTTGGTTAGTTCTCTCTTTCCTCTCTGGGTGTCTTTTCCAGTCTGACCTACTGTGACTATTTGTGGAAACCATTGTTTTCCTCACACCTGAGCCCCTGAGGGCTGCACCGGGGTCTCCTCCTTCTCCTGAGCCTCCATTGCATCCAGCACAGGCTAGGCCTGAGGTCAGGGTTCATTAAGGGCTTCTAGAGCCAGAGATTCAGGCTAACAGCAGCTGCGGGCTCTGTGGTGGGTGGACAGTGGTCTGGGGAGCCCCTTTCTAATGGAGCCAGTGGGCTTCCTCTTGGGGCTGGACTTTCTGGGCTAGGGGCAACTGCCCTTGGGGAGACCCCATACCCCACCTGCACTTTAGGGAGCTTGAGGACTCACCAGAGCCCTTTATGGAGGCAGGACCAGAGAAGAGGAAGGGAACAAACGTCTGAGGGGTCCTTAATTCATATCCCCTTAAGCTACCTACATCCCCGGGCTTCCTGAGACAATCCCCAGTAACCCCTGCCACCACCACCCCCTTATCCCACCCGCCACACACACACAAGGACCCTAGCCAGGCTGAGGAGGCATCTCTTTGGAATCCCTGGTATGGTAAGGGACAGCCCCTAAAGAACCTAGGGGCCCCTTAACCCACTGCTGTAAAGTGGATTCTAACTCATAATGACCCCATAGGACAGAGCAGAATTGCCTCCACAGGGTTTCCAAGAGTATCAGTCTTTATAGACACAGACTCCTCCATTTTTCTCCCAAGGAGCAGCTAGTGGGTTTGAACCACCAACCTATCAGCAGATAAGTGCTTAGCCACTGCACTCTCTGGACTCCTTGGGGTCCCCCAAGGGAAGCAGAAAACAAGAATCAAAGCAGCTTGAGGGAAAAGGAGTTTATTGTTGTCTTGGGGACTTGCTGCCTTGGGTCCCGAGGAGGATTCACTGCTGCATTTTCTGGAGAGCAGAGAACAGTGGGAGAGACTTTTGGTGTGTCTCTTCTGGAATGGCAGGACGCTCAGACAGGAGAGTGGGCACATGAGAGGGGAGGCACGGAAGGCGGCCTGGGGCTTCAGTACAACAGCCTTGTCTCTGCCCAATGGGCTTGAATGCCCCTCAGCATCTCAGACCACTGCTGCTGCAAATGCAGGCTCAAAAGACACCCTCCGGCAAGCTCCCATGTGAATCCCCCAGCCCAGGGTGGCCCCCAAGATAATGAATGACTGTCTGTACCACCATTCACTTCTTTTGTGCCCTTCTCTAATAGGACCACACTTCATTGCCAGGTTCTGGGCTCAGGCCATAAGCATTTGCTGAAGCCAACAGGTGCATGGATGGAGACATTAAAGTCCTACTCCAGGTCTGCGTAAGTTCTCCATCAGAACAAACGGACGAATGAATGAGTATGTGAATGAACAACTAAGTACATGAATAAAGGAGTGATTGAACAAGCAAGGATCCCTGGTGGCACAGTGGTGAAGTATCTGCTGCTAACATGAAGATTGGTGGTTCAAATCCACCAGCCGCTCCTTGAGAGAATGATGATTCAACCCTGGAAACTCTGTGGGGCAATTCTACAGCAATGGGTTCTTTTGTGTGTGTGTTTAAGCAAGCAGTGAGTGAATGAATGAATGAGTCCATGAAGAAGTGAGTGAGCAAGGCAGTGATTAAAGATGGGTGTGTGAGGGGAGGGTTCCATGGATAGGAGAAGGAGGGGTCCCCAGGAAGGAGCTGGGCACCCACCTCGTTGATCCAGTCGATGTAGGCAGACACACGGGTGTAGACCGCGGGCTTCTTGCGGGTGTTGCAGCCCAGCCCTGAGCCGAAGCTGACAATACCACGCACCTCCCAGGAGCCATTCTCTGCCTGGCAGTTCAGTGGACCACCCGAGTCCCCCTAGGTAAGATGGGAAGGTAGGGATCAGCCACCCAGCCTTCTTGGAAAGCAGGAGCAGGGTGGGGAGGGGAATGTGTGCTGGTCAATCAGCCTCTGTCTCCCTATTTATGCCTCAGCCTGTCCTAGTGAGGGAGATAGAGGATCTCTGGCTTGGGGCTGCCTTGGCCGAGTGCTGGGGGCTTGGAGGCATTAGACTAGTTCTTGATTTGCTGTGCAGTCTTGGGATGATGCTAACCCTCTCTATGCCCCAGTTTCCTCAGCTGTCCAGAGTCACCATGTCTAAGATTCTGTGAGCTGCCCAGAGAGGTGGATGCTGGGAGCCATGCTGGAGACCTGGGAAAGTGGGGAAGGTAAGAATGAGGAGAGAGCTGTGCATTTGAAAACAGGACAGCCCCTCGTTGTCGTAAGTGTCTCTTGGGTTAGACTCTATCCTGACTTCCACACCGGAGCAGCTTACAACACGAGGGGATATGTGCAGAGACGTCACTGAAACTTGTATATCCCCATTTGGTAGATGGAAAATTGAGGTTCAGAGTGGTTGAACAGCCTGTCCACAGTTACACAGCTAGTAAGTGGTGGGATTGGGACTCGAACTCAGATGATCTGACTCAATGTCCCTGCTCTTGTTGGGGATGAGAGGCAGGGGCAGAGTGGAGTGTGGGTGATGGGTTTTCCTCTGAACCTGCTGAGCCCAAACATGGCAGTTTCCTGCCAGGGAGAGGACCTGCTCATGTGGGCCTCCCTCACTATCCCAGGGACTTGACACTCACGTTGCAGGCTGAGATGACGCCGTCGCCTCCAGCACACACCATTGTTTCCTTCACCATGGTGCCCCACCAGTCACTCTGCGTGCACGTGGAGTGATTCACCACTGGCTGCAGGCCCTGCTGCAGGTTATCTGCGATGGGACCATTGGCTGGGGAAAGGGACATGACCAGAAGTCAGCAGAGGTGGCTCTCAGGGAACAGAGGGCTTGGGCAGGGATGAGGCCTGGTTGAGGCTCTGTGGGAACCACACACATGCCCCTAATCAAGAGCAGAGACTCTGAGCCAATGGCCCTGAACCATCTGGGGCACAGATCCCTGCTGAGGGCAGTGGAAGGGGGAGCCGGTTTGAGGCACTATGAATCAATTGAAAGCCCTCAAGAGATAACTGTTTTGTTGAGCTGTCTTTAATTTGGATGCTAGGGTTTCAACTGTCAATCATTTCCTTGTAACTTTCTGCCTTTGGTGTCTCATATTCAGAAGTCTTTCTCACCCCAAGATATCCTAAAGACGGATCTGTATTTTCCACTAGGCCTTCTATATTGTTGTTGTTTAGTGCTGTGAAGTCAATTCTGATCCATATCAACCCTGCATGGGATTTTCAAGGAGTGGCTGGTGAGTTTGAACCACCAACCTTGTGGTTAGTAGCTCAGTGCATATCCCACAACGCCACACCAGGACTCTTCCATAGTTTAATTTATTTACAATAAACTCTTTAATTCAGCAGGACTTTATTTGGGCCTATCTCATATACCATTAGGAGCCATGGTGGTATAGGAGTTAAAGTGCTCAGCTGCAGACGGAAAGGTTGGGGATTTGAAAGCATTAGCAGCTCCATAGACGATGTGTGGCAGCTGCTTCCATGAAGTCTTGCAGCTTTGGGAACCCTATGGAACAGTCCTGCTCTGGTCTACATGGTGGCTGTGAGTAGGAATCAACTTGATGACAGTGCATTGCATTTCGGGTTTTGGTATGCCATAAAGATCTAACACTATGGTTTATATCTTAACAGGTGCTTATGACACTGTGGAGTCCTGGTGTGGCACTGGAGAATAAGCACTAGACCGCAAGGTAGGTTTGAACTGCATGGTCAGTGGTTTGAACTCACCAGCTGCTCCTTAGAAACCCCATACAGGGTCGCTCTGAGTTGGAACTGATTCAATAGCACTTAACCACAACAATATGGCACTATAAGGTAAGTCCTATTCTAAGCATTTAGCCAATTCCAATCCATTTAATCCTTATAATTCCACTCAGTAAAGTATCTGTCACACTGTGTGTGCTTCTAAATATTAGCTATCATCATTACAAAGTTAAACAAAATGTGAAAATGTTTAGGCAAAAAGGAAAAACAGTGGGCAAGTGTGTGTGGAATGCTTGTTGTCAAAGCTACTTCCTCCAGGAAGACTCTCTTGATTTGCCAGGAGCCATATAGAGTCAGGTAGGAGCTCTGGTAGCGTAGTGGCTACGAATCAGGCTGCGAACCGCAAGGTCAGCAGTTTGAAACTACCAGCTGTTCCGTGGGAGAAAGATGAGGCTTTCTGCTCCTGTAAAGATTTACAGCCTCAGAAACCCTGTACAGGGTCACTATGAGTTGGAACCAACTCCACGGCACATAACCACCAACCAATATAGTCAGGAGTCCTGGTGTGGTGCTGTGGATTAATGCTCCAGATTGCAAAGCCGTTTGAACTGCAAGGTCAGCAGTTCAAGCTCACCAGCTGCTCCTTGGAAACCCTATACAGGGTCACTATGGGTCAGAATTGACTTGACAGTACTTAACAACAACAACAACATATAGGGTCACTCTGAGTTGGAACCAAACTTGATGGCACTTAACAACAACAACGTTGTCAATGTGCTCTGCTGCTGACCAAAATGTTGGAGATTTGATACCTCAAAAGAAAAACTCGGTGATTTAGTTCCCAAAATCTGCTATTAAAAAGGCCGTGGGACAAGTTGTACTCTGACACACAAGGGGCCATCAAGAGTCAGATTTGACTCAATGGCAGCTGATACTCACTCCAAAGGCGGCCCCAACCAGTGACGTAGCAGGGAAAGTCCTGAGGTAGCAGGGACCCCTCCTCGGGCAGGCAGGCCACCTGGATGGTGTCACTCAGCTCCACGGGCTCAGCCAGCTTGATGAGGGCGATGTCATTGCTAGAATTAAAGCAAGAGGGTGAGGGCGCTGGGGAACCCAGGACTGTGAGTTGGAAGTCAGGCCAGGGACCACCAGCTTCTTCTTGGTTGACAGATGTGTCGGAGGACAAATGATCCACCTTCTAACTTGATCACTCATCCCTTTAAATAGGAAGGCTTAGCAGAGTGGAGAAAACAGCTGAAGCTTTCCAAACACCTGCTGATTATGCCAAAACAATTGGGAACTTATAATGATAAACGAGGGACACTTACAGTTTTCATTTTTAAAAATGAAAACATTTAAAAAATGTTTTCATTTTACCAGAATGCAAGTGGGCACCCCTGGTTTGAGTCTTACTTCATTGAGGTGTGGAGTCCTGGTGTAGGATAAGCACTGGGCAGCTAACCACAAGGTCTGAGGTTAAAACCCACCAGTCTCTCCTTGGAAACCCTATACAGGGTTGCTATGAGACTCTACAACACTTAACAACCATTGCGATGCAGTGAATTACTTAATATGTGTTGTATATCAGCGTAAAATAGCAAACCCAAAAGACAAAAATCCTCGCAACTGGACCAACAAATAATACCATGGTAAATGGAGAAAAGACTCCAGTTGACAAAGACTTAATTTTGCTTGGATCCACAACCAACAGTTATGGAAGCAGCAGTCAAGAAATCCAATGATGGATTGTACTAGACAAATCTGCAAAAGACCTCTTCAAAATTTTAAAGCGCAAAGATGTCACTTTAAAGACTAGATGCGCTTGACCCAAGCTTTGGTATTTTCAATAGCCTCATATGCATGTGAAACTTGGACAATAAACAAGGTAGACTGTAGAAGAATATTGAAAGCATGGACTGCTAGAAGAACCAACAAATCTGTCTTGGAAAAAGTGCAGCCAGAATGCTCCTTAGAAAGGAAGGCGGTGAGACTTCATCTCTCGTACTTTGGACATGTTATCAGAAGGGACCAGTCTCAGAAGGACATCATGCTTGGAAAAGCTGAGGGTCAGCAAAACAGAGGAAGATCCCCAATGAAATGAACTAACACAGTGACAGCAACAACAGGTTCAACAACGATTGTGAGGATGGCACAGAACTGGGCAGTGTTTTGTTCTGTTGTGCCTAGGGTTGTTATGATGGCACCTAACAATAGCAAACTAAGCCATAGTCTTGTAACTTGCACCAAAAGACTGGGCTGTTGTTATTGTTAAGTGCTGTTGAGTCTGTTCTGATTCATAGTGACCCTGTATAGGCTTTCCAAGGAGCTGTTGGTAAATTTGAATCACCGACCTTGTGGTTCAATGCTTTATCTCACAGCACAGTCCACCAAGGGTATTGGATAGCTTGCTAATAAGACAAATGAGGTGCATGGAATCTTTTGTGTATGAAACCATGCAAATAAGGTGTATGGATCCCTAACAAGGGGATTGGTCAGCTTTGCCCTCCTGCTAAGATTGAAACAGCCAATTCTAAAGCAGATGAGGGACCTAAGAAAGAAGAGATAGGAGTCAAGCATATTCTTTGGGTATCTGAGCTAGGAACCTCCTAGGCCCAGGAATCAGGAGCTGTCATATGAAAGACAGTGTGAGATGGCGGGCCAGATTAGCAAGAGTGATGGAGAAATGAGATGACAGGAACCAGGAACCTGGCACAAATTGGCTTTGGTGGAGTTTGCTGGTCATTTATAGCAGTTGTGCCAGAAGGCTCCCAGCAGGCCTGGCAGAAGAGGTCACCAGTAGGAGGCAGCAAGACCCAGTAAGGCAGAGCAGTAGAGAGTGACAGGGAGCTGTTGTGATGGAGGAACTGCATCCTGAGTTGTCCCTGTTACTTCTGAGTTCCTCCTAATCCAAAGTTGTACCCTGTTACTTCCCCAGTAAACCACTTCACCAGAAATCTGGTCTGTGAGTTCTGTGTGAGACACTGCAGTGAACCCAAAAAGGAAGAGAGAGTACTGAGGGGAGGTGGAGATGCTGATGTTGGAGTGATGATGGAGTGATACAGCAATTGGAACAAGTTGCACATTTAGGACATCTTTAACCTCAACCTATAGGAATGAGTTTTGTTCTAATCCTTATTAAAGAAATGATTCATTTAAGCATATACTAGGTTGTGTAACCTGAGACACATTCCTTAACCCCTCTGAGCTTGGTTCCTTGTCTAGGGATGTTGTAAGTGTCCCTCCTTTATCATTATAACTTCTGATAGGTACATAACCAATAGGACTTTGGAATGCTTCCGCTCTGGTTTCTGCTTTCTGTTAAGCCAGTTGTGACTCATTTGTTGTTGTTGTTAAGTGCTGTCAAGTCTGTTCGGACCCATAACGACCCTGTATAGGGTTTCCAAGGAGTAGCTGGTGAGCTTGAACTCCCGACTTTGTGGTTCAAACCAATTTTGCAGTCCAGAGCATTAACCCACAGCGCCACTCATAATGACACTGCATAGGTCTTCCAAGGAGTGGCTGGTGGGTTCGCAGTCCAGTGCTTATCCCACAGTGCCACACCGGAACTTTGCTCAATAAAAACGAGTCTTGTCTCAGTCTCTGACTGAGAGACCTCTGGCAGGACACTCAGGACACCATGTCTTTACTCCTTGTGTACCTTCCATGAACTCTTGGCCAGCTGTGGGCATGGGTATCTGTCTCTATTTGGTATTTTTCCATTTTGTATAAAGGGATCATCTTGCTAGCCCTTGGGTTCTGAGGGGGTGTCAGAACATGGTGGGGCAGGTTCTGCAGCTCTGTATTGGGGCCCCTCCCCTTTCTGCACTGCCCGCAGGTACTCACCGCACCAGGAAAGAGTTCCACTTCTCATGGACGAAGATGGTATCCACAGACACGAACTGGGAGCCTTCCTCATTGTCCACAACCAGGTTGTTCTTTCCCAGGCCCACTCGGTAGGTGAGAGCATTGCTGGGCAGAGGAATGAGAAAGGGCCAAGGTAGGTTTGGTGGTCTAGCCCTGTGCCTACCACAGGAAGAGAGTATCCATTCCCATTGACCCTTCCTAGAGGGGTGTATGGAAAGGACCCTGAACTTGGAGTCAGAGGACTTGGACTTCAATTGGTAGTCTTAGACTCTAGTCATCTGTAAAAACCAAAACCTAAACCTGTGGCTGTCAAGTTGATTCTGACTCCTAGAGACCCCATGTGTTACAGGGTAGAATTGCTTCCTAGAGTTGTCTCAGCTGTGATCTCTATGGAAGCAGATCACCTGGTCTTCCTTCTGCAAAGCCACTGGGTGGATTAGAACTGCCAACTCTTAGGATAGCAGCTGATTTCAAACTGTTTGTGCTACCCAGGGACCTTTTCCTAATCTGTAAAGTGGAGATATATTAGAACTTGGGTCCCTGGGATGCTGTGAGAAGAAACGAGTCTAAACCAGCATCATCTCTTGCCTACATTGGTACAACAGTGGCCTCACTGACTCTCCACTGCCTACTGTCTCCTATTCTTAACCCAGCAGCTGGTGTGAACCTTCTAAAATCTGAATCAGGCCCTGCCCCTTGTCTGCTCAAAACCCATTCCAATTGTTCCATCTGGTTCAAGGTCAAGGTCAAAATCCTGACCTTCATGTGCTCAATCAGGCCATTGGTTTCCTCTCTAGCTCCCTTCCTCTTGTTTTCCCTTCACACACTCCGCTTCTGTTACTCCAATCTCCTCACTATTTCTCAAACACAGCAAGTAGCCTGCTTCCTCAGGACCTTCGCCTTGGCTATTCCCTCTACCTGGAATGCCCTTCCTAGATCATCCCATGACTTCCTCCAGATCCCATTATTACTAAAGTCATCCCTTTTGTTTTTTAAAAACAAAACAAAAGAACAAACAATCACAGGCCAATTCATAACCACTACACTACCAGAGCTCCTTTGAATAACTGGATACAAATAGTTTATTCATTGGGCTCCAAACCACAAGGTCAGCAGTTCGAAACTACCAGCTGTTATGTGGGAGGAAGATGAGGTGTTCTGCTCCAGTACAGATTTACAACCTCGGAAATTCTGTACAGGGTCGCTATGAGTTGGAACCGACTCCATGGCACACAGTTACACAGCTTATTAGCCTCCGCCCACCCCCCACCCCCCTCCGGGGTGGACTGTCATCCCAGCTCACTTGATGCAGTGGGCAGCCGTGAGGACGTAGTTGCTGGCAATCAAGGTACCACCACAGGTGTGCCTCCACGTATTGTCCTTGAGGTACTGGAGGGAGATCTGGCAAGGATGCAGAAGGGTTATGTGTCAGGTCCCCGGGGACCCTCAGCCCCCTTCCCCCCACCTCCCACATTGTATCAGTATGCTTACCTGCCAGGGCCAGCTGTGGGGTATGGCATCCTCTCCTCCTACCACTCGGGTTGATAGATTGGGCAGGAAGCTGGGAACCCCGCAGCTGGAGGCTGGATGAGCAGGAGGAGAGAAGCTCAGGTGAGTGGGATGGGGACAGGTAGGGGGAGCAAGTGGAAGGCTTTGGGTCTAGCAGACATGAGTTCATAGTTCACTTTATGACTTTGGGGAAGTTACTTAATTCTCTGGGCCGTAGCTTCCCTTTATGTGAAATGGGTAGAATAGCGCTCATCTAAGGTTGGGTCCTGAAAACGAGGTTGGATAGTGTATGGAATGGGCTGCGCAAATGGTCTGGTACCCAGCAGGCGCTTATGCACTGAAGGAACTAAAAAGGTGCATAAGAGCTGGAGCACATCTGTACCCTTCACCCTCACCACACTGGGCCTGCGTGAGAGTCGAGTCTAGAGCTACAGAATGTAACAGCTGAGAAGCTGTGTGGCTCGGTCAAGGGCACTAGACTCAAATTTAGGCTCAACCAATAATAATTGGTCAAGTGAACCTGGACAAGATACTGAGCCTCATGGAGCCTCAATGTAAAGTGGAGACACTTATAAAACCACCTCTCAGGTGCTGACAGAAGGGGAACCCAGCCAGTGGTTCTACAGGAGAAAGATCAGGTGATCTGTTCTATAAAGATGACAATCCAGAAAACCCTACGGAAGCAGTTCTACTCCGTCACATGGGGTCCCTATGACTCCATGACACTCAAGAGCAACATCACCTCTCAGGGTGGTTGTGGGGGTCGTGGCCTGGCATATAATAAACACGCAATAAGCAAGAGCTGCTATTTTAGCTGGAAGGACTCTTAATCGAGTGCTCTCACTTCCCAAACAAGTCAGTGAGATTTAGGGAGGTCAAACGACTTGCCTAAATCTTGCAGTGACAAATAAACCAAATCTTTGAATCCTAAGCTGATGGAATGCCACCAGAATGGGAGAACAAAGATTCTAAGTAAGAAAGGGGAGGCTCTGATGTCCCTTGGAGTGAGTCTGGTGTCTGGCACTATGTCCCTGGCCCATGCCCTTCCTCTCTAATCCTCACCTGACATGGGGGGAATCACTCCATTGCCCCATTCTGTGCTGCAGAGCTACAGAGTGGGGAAATGATTCAGTCTGATGTTCAGTGAGTTAGTAGAATCTGAGTCCACATTGGACCCAAGCTCCTTTTCTGGAATCTTGTTGAGCAGAGGGGCCTTGGCCCTGCCTTTATCACCAGGAGGCCACCCCGAGCTCAGGGCCCAATGGTTGCAGCTGGTCCCCACTTAGAGCTTACCGCAGGCCAGGAGTGCGGCGAGGACTGTGATGCTCAACATGTTGCCAGTGTCCGGAGTGAGTGGCCACTAAGGAGGCCTGGGCACATTTATAGGCCTGAGGGGGGTGGGCCCCACCTGGCCAGGGCTGACCTATCCCTTAGAGAGAAACCTGTTTCGACAAGGCCTTTTCCCTGACCTTGGATGGCTACTGTTTAATTTGGACAAAAGATGGAGCTGGCTCGCAGTATGGATTTCCCAAACATGCTGAGACCGGGACAGATTCTGAGTTGTGCAGGCCATTTTGGGCTCTAAACAGTCTAGGTAAACGGGTCTTGGTGGTACTGTGGTTAAGAGCTTGAACCCACCAACTGCTTCGAGGGAGAAAACACCTGGTGGTCTATTCCCATAAACTTTACACCTAGGAGACCCATGTCTTAAGTGCTGCTATGCACTCCCCAGCACACGGCAACAGCACTGCTCTGGATAGAGTGGGTTCCCAGTCTGTTTCCCTTCTCATGTGTTTTCAGTTGTCACTTATTGGACACCCAGTACTTCTTGCATCACTTCGCTTCACTTCCCAGCAATATGAAGTAGATACTATTATCTGCTCTTTAGAGACGAGAAAGCTGAGACACAGAGAAGCTGACCATCCAGCATCACACAGCAGAGCCAGGATTTGAATCCAGTGCTTCCAACACTGGTCCAAACATCACATATGATATGTAGTTGTTGTTAAGTGCCGTCGAGTCAAGTCTGACTCATAGCGACCCTGTATAGGATTTCTGAGGAGCAGCTGATGAGTTTGAACCACCGACCTTTCTGTTCAAACCCACCTTGTGGTTAGTACTCATCCTGCGGCACCACACCAGGACTCCTGATAAAGTAGAGGGTCTGTGAAAACCAGAGACATCTTCAATGAGATGATTCACACAAACATACCAGGCATCATGCAAATGGTGCAGGACTAGACTATGTTTTGTTCTGCTATACACGAGTCAGAACAATCTAGATGGTAACTAGCAATAACAGCCAGAGTCTGAGGCTTCAAACTGTTGGGATTTACAGCTTCCTTCTCTGTCTTCCGAGCTATCTGCTGCTGTTTGTCGTTTTCTCTCTCCTTCATTCAGCCATATTTTTTTCTGGGCTCCTGGCACCCCTTGCATCCCAGTACTTGCTGAGGGTCAGTAAACCTGGAAGGATCTTGGTTAGCCCAATTCCTACCTAGAGTTAGCTTAGTTGGCTTCCTCCTCAGTCTTCCTGTCTTTAAAATGGGCCATTAGGACCAGATAGACACTTAGGCTCCTTTCAGCCTTAAGATTCGTGACTTGAATTGCTGAGGTCAAGTAATGGATCTGTATTTGTGGCACTTGGTGTGAATCCAAAGCACTGTGTGCCTAGAAGTTCTATCCAGACCCCCAGCAGCTTGGGGTCAGCCCATCTCTCAGAGCTCCTGGTTTTAGAGCATTTGCCAGTCTTGGGTCTATTCAGTTAAACTCTGCTTGTCCTCTCCTTGACACTCATCTCTCCTCCTTGGAGGTCATTTTCTGAGCTGGGCCCACTGGTCACCTTAGGAATTGTTCCCCAATAAAGAAGTTCAGAATTCTGCTCACCCTACTGTTTATGGCGGCTCTCTAGGGGTGGGGTAGAGTCAAGGAAGATTCATGTATTTTTATCAAGTTTAAAGTCTTTTATAAATCAAATATGTATTATTTCTGTAATATAGAAAATTAGTAAAATTCTTCTTTTTTAAAAAATGACACTTGGCAGGAGTGAGTGTATGTGTAGGGTTTTGTCCTGCCACCTTGACCTCAGACTCCAGAATAGAAGGAGAGTGAGTCTATAGGACCTCAGGATGCAGGGACCCTGGTTCACACAGAGGGGTCAGTCAGTGGCCACTGCCCAATCAACTGATGGCCCAGAGCTTTTGATCACCACGACCCGGAAACCGACACCTTCACAGTGATGTGGATTGTGTCAGGGGCAGGTCTTGTTGGGAGGCAGGAAACAAGACTCTTGATTCCTACATCTGGCAGTTACTTGCTGGATGACCTTGGACTGTGGGCAGCCTTTTGTAGACTCAATTTATTTATGTCCTTGAACAACTTTGGAAAAGAACTGTCTTAGTTATCTACAACTGTTATACCACAGTGGACGGCTTTAACAAACAGAAAATTGATTCTTTCACCGTTTAGGAAGCAAGAAGTCTGAATTCAGGGCCCCCAGCTCTGGGGGAAGGCGTTCTCTTCTCTCTCTGTCGGCTCAGAGTCTAGGAGGAGGGTCCTTGCCACTTTTCAGCATCTGTGGGCCCCGTAGTCCTTGGTGATCTGCATGTGTCTTAGCATCAATCTTCCTCTGAGCCTAGGAACTTCACATCATCACAAAAGACTCGCTCTGCTCATGGCTCGTCTTTCTTGGTGGTATTAAGGTCTCTCCCTCTCCGCTTGCTTCTCTCTCCTTTGATCTCTTGTAAGATAAAAGGGGATATAGGATTTCTGGTGTGGCTTGGTAGGATCAACACTGGACAGAACCACACGGTTGGCAGTTCAAACCCACCGGTTACTCCTCGGAAACTCTATACAAGGTGGCTATGAGTTGGAACCAATGCAATGGCAGTTAGCAACAACAACCGTCTACACCTCAGGGAAACTCCCCTTATATGAGATCAGGGATGTGACCTGTGCTACGTTCTACTCTAATCCCCTTACAGCTGATTGGCTGGCCACATTATGGAGGATGATTATGTCATTACCTACCCTTACAGCTGATTGGCTG